CAGAGGACAACTTGGGGAAATCAGTTATCTCCAGCCACCTTTATGTAGGTTCTGAGGATTGAACTCAGGTGGTCATCAGGCTTGCTTGGCAAGTGCTTTTACCTGCTGAGCTATCTTGCTAGTCCCTGTTGTAATTTTTTGAGGCAGGGTCTCATGTAACACAGGCTAGTCTCAAACTCGCTACGTAGCCAAGGATGACTTTCAACTTCTGATTGTCCTGCCTCTTAACCTCTTGAGCCCTGTGCCTACAGCTATGTACCACTGTGCCTATTTTTTATTTTTAGGTGTTCTGGGGATTGAATCAAGGCTTCAAGCAAGTTAGGCAAGCTCTCTGCCAACTGAGCTACATCCCCAGTCCTATATTGCCCTTTAATCTAGAACAGTTCTTTTTCCCTTTTGTTTTTTTCATTTATTAATATTTTATAGAGCCTAGACCAGTTATTTTAGAGAAAAGTCTACAATTTGGATTTGTTATTGAATTCAAGGTAAGCATTAGACAAGAATACTTTGTGGGTGATGTCATATGCACATGTCACTTATTGATGACCTTAAGTTTGGCTTACTTTGCTAAATTGCTGCCTTCTAGATTTTGTTGTTGTAAATGTGTCTTTTTCTCTTTGTAATTAAGGAACATTCTCTGTTAGGTGGGCATGGTGGCATGGTGATTTCCACTACTCAGGATTTGAGACCACCAACACAATGAGACTTTTGTTTTGGAATAAAGCGAAGGGATGAGGAAAGTGAAAGAGAAGACTGATGACATTTAAAAAATTTTCCTTCCTCCCCTGCCCCCCCCCCTTTATATGAGACCCCCAGGGTCTCTCATAGCCCAGGCTGGCCTGGAACTTTGTTTTGTTTTGTCTTTGGTCTTTTGGGACAGGATTTTTCTGCAGCCCTAGCTGCCCTGGAGCTAGCTATATAGACCAGGCTGGCCTCAATCTTAAGAGATTCCTTGGCTCTGCCTCTCGAATGCTGCGATTAAATACTGGGCCATCATGCCCGGCTACCACCATTTTATGCAGTGCAAAGGATCAAAGCCTGGGCTTCAAGCATGCTAGGCAAACACTACAAACTGAGCTGCATTCCTTGCCCTATTTATTATGTCTGGCTTTTTTTTTTCTCTTGGAGACAGTTTCAGTGTATGGCCCTGGCTAGCCTCAAATTGTCTAACCTTCTGCCTCAGATTGATTGATGCTGGGATTGATGAGCCACCATATCTGTCTATACTTTTGAGATTTATGATTTTTGTATTCTTCAACTTTTTTTGGTGGTTGTTATTTTGAGACAGGTTTAATGTAGTAGCCCAGGTTATCCGCAGATTCACTGTGTAGCCAAAGATGGCCTTGAACACCTCATGCTTCCACCTCCTAGGTGGTGAAATTATAGATGCCTTTGTCATTGGCATCTGTTGATGAGTCTTGTCTAAATCTTTTATTATGTTAGTGATTTTAGAATGTTGATTTTTTTGGATATATCTCACTCCTTTTATATATATATATGGGCTAGTCTGAGCTTTTCTTTATATATTTCCCCCCCCCTTTTGGTCTTTTTGAGACAGTTTCCTTATAGCCTCAGCTGACCTGGAATTCACTATGTAGACCTGGCTGGCCTCCAACTCAGAAGAGATCCTCCTGCCTCTGCCTCCCCAGTGCTCAGATTAAAGGCGTGTACCACCATGCCCAGCTCCTTTATATATTTCTGAGCTAACATTGTTCTATGGAATGCTTAACCTCCTTTTTATGTTTTGGTGGTAACTATAGCGTCTATATTGTTAACATTCTTTTATTATGGGTTCTCCTATGAGACCCTGTCTCAGAAAAATCCAGAGTGCATGGCTGTGACACCCAAGGTTGTCTTGTGGCTCCACATATATATGCACACATGTGTGCATGCATTCCCCCAAGGTGTACACACATAAACACATGCATCTGTACATACACCATACTCCCCCCAAATGCAATGATTTATAATCCTTACCTGCTGATGTTAAAAGTACTAACAGTATTGACTATTAAAAATACTAAAATTTGTGGGGGGGGGTTGGAGAGATAGCTCAGGAGCTAAGTATATACTGCTCTTGGAGAGGACCTTAGTTTAATTCCCAGCACCTATGTCAGGTGGTGCATAACAGCCTGTAACTCTAGCTCCAGGAGGCCTGATGCCCTCTTAGGGTATTGTACTCTCATGTATACACACACATATATTATTTAAATTTTGAAAATCTAAAGAAAAAAACTCTAAAATTTGGCCAGTGAAATAGCTAAGTAGGTAAAGGCCCTTCCTGCCTAGTCTGATGAGGTCAATCCATGGAACTCCTATGGTGGAAGGAAAAAAACTGATTCCTGCAAATTGTTGTTTGACTGCTGCATGGGCATGCCATGGTATGGGTGTCCCCCCCACCCCCATGAATACAGAAATGCAAAAAAATTTAAAATATTAAAATTATTCTCAATATGGTTAATAAACTCCCCTTTAGGCTGGCTTTTGTCCTTCTGACATGCCACTGTCAAGTTTTGAGCACTTCTGTACTTTCATGCAAGATATTTTCAGTTAATTTTGTACTTTGCTTGCCCCTGACCTGAAATCAATCACTTCTGAAATAATCTTGATTGCTTTAGTGGGTTCCTTCACAGGGAAGACCTCCTCCTCTTCTCCTCCTCCTCCTCCTAAATATATAGGACCAACTATTTACAGTTTAAAAAAAAAAAAGAATGACTTTCAGGCTCAGACCTTTTTGTATCTTCCTGGATATACTTAAGCAATAAAGTATCTTTCTTCCTTCTTTTTTTTTTTTTGAGACAGGGTCTCACAATGTAGCTCTGGCTGATTTGGAACTAGGTATGTAGACCAGGCTGGCCTTGAACTCACATAGATCTGCTTGTCTTGTAACCTTCTCTCTCTGTCTCTGTCTCTGTCTCTGTCTCTCTCTTTCTCTCTCATATATAGTTTTTTTTTTTTTAAAGTAGAGCAAACATAGATTTATCAAGGAAAAGTGAAAAAGAATGCCCAAGAGTGGGAGTGCTCCAAAGGAGGAACATGGTCTTTCCTACTCTCAAGTAACCCTGGTTGCAGTCATGTTTACTTCCCTCTTTGTAGCTTCTGTTACCTAAATTAGAGTCTTTCTTAGGGAAACTTCTAAAACCAGGCCTTTTGTTTTATTTTATTTTATTATTATTTTTTTACTTTATGTGTATGCATGTATTGCCTGCACGTAGGTAAGTGCACCCGTGTTGTGCAGTGCCCTTTGAGGACAGAAGAGGCCGTCGGATCCCCTGGGACTGGAGTTATGGATGGTTGTTAGTTGCCATGTGGGTGCTGGGATTCAAACCTGGGTCTTCTGCAAGAACAACCAATGTTCTTAACCGCTGAGTCATCCCTCCAGCCCCAAACCAGGCCTTTTGTAACTCATGTTTTGAACCTGCATCTTGTATTCCTCTGCATATGTTTTACATATTGGTACATGAATGTGAATGCAGTCTAGAAAACTCACATGCAGTCAAGGTGTTTTTTGCATTGAACATTTCTGTTGGAGTGTAGCATTTGTGTGTGTGTGTGTGTGTGTGTGTGTCTGTGTGTGTGTCTGTGTGTTCAGGAGTTTATTCTCTCTTTCCACCTGCGTGCCCTAGGGATCAAATTCAAATTGTCATTCTTGGTGGCAAGTGCCTCTACCTGATGAACCGTTTCACTGTTGGTTCTGGGATCAGTTATTTTATTGCAGAGCTGTCTCTTATTTTTCTTTTTTTTTTTTTTTTTTGACAAGATTTCACTATATATATTCCTGGCTGGCCTGAAACTCACTATGTAGGCCGAGGTGGCCTCAAACTTGTGACGATCCTCCTGCCTCAGCCCAAATCTCCTATGTTCCAGAAGCTGGAGAATATACTGCTTTCTTATTCCACATCAAATGAGACATGTCAGTCCATCCACAAAACATTTTACACTGAAAGTGAAACTCACTAAGCCCATCTATTCATTAGTTGCAGAAACAAAAAAATTCTATGGTAGTGCTGTGTTATTAATATGTTCTTTTTAAATATTTTAAAAATTCTCTATTAGCCTTTTGGAAAGAATACAGAATATTTTTTGGAAGGGGGGAAATTATTTTATTTATTAATTTTATTTGATGTGTATGAGTGTATTGTCTGCATGTATATAAGTGCACCCATGTCATGCACTGCCCTCAGAGGTCAGAAGAGGGTGTTGGATCCCCTGGAACTGGAGTTATGGATGGTTGTTAGTTGCCATGTGGGTCCTGGAATTCAGACCCATGTCTTCTGCAAGAATAGCTAGTGCTCTTAACCACTGATCCAACTCTCCAGCCCAGATGATATTTCTTTTGAAAGTTTTGAGACAGGGTCTCATGTAGCCTGTGCTGGTCTTAAACTTGCTGTGTAGCTGAGATTGGCCATCTACTCCTGATCCTCTTACCTCAGTCTCCCAAGTACTAGGATTACCAGGTGTGAGTCACAACATCTGGCTAGATAGTATTTTAGTTAACCCAATTACTAATCTATCAGTTGGTTTTATGTTTATGTATTTTTTTTCTTTTATATGGATGACTACGCTAAGATACTAAAGAAATTAGCTGCTTGAATAAATTTAGAATTGTAATCTCTGGGGAATTTTTTTTTTTTTTTTGGGTCTTTTTGAGACAGGGTCTCCCCTTGAACCTTGAACTCACTCTGTAGACCAGGCTCTCCTTGAACTCACAGAGATCCACCTGTCTCTGCCTCCTGAGTGCTGGAATTAAAGGCTTGCACCACCATGTCGGGCCTATCTCTGGGGATTTTAATAGTTAATAGATAGTACTCAGCTTTTCAGAGTAAGAAAGAAGATGGGCAACTTCAAATTAATTTTTGTACTGTCGTCCAGATCACTTAGACATAGAATCCAGTGAAAAGTCAGAGCTGTTTTGAGAATTTTAATTGACTACTGTGTTGTTGAAAGCTTGCTAAAACCTGGGCTCAGTGTGGTGAAAGATTCTTTTTTTCCCTTTTCAGGTCAATTGCCAGAGGCTATCTACTGTCCTTCCTCAGTGTCTCCAAGTTACTCTAGATAAATATAGTTCTTAATACTTCACCTGGATGCATGAGGCAATACATCTGTGCTAGAGATTAGGTAAGCAGTATACTTGGGTGTTTATGGGTAAATTTTGTGATTTTGGAATTGTTTTGTGAGTTCAGAATAAAGCTAATGTTCAGTTACTTTGAGGAGAAACCTATTTTGTATACATTTAGCTGTCTATGAAATGTTAAGGTCTGAAGTCAGGCTTGGTGGCTCACACCTTTAATCCCAGCACTTGGGAGGCAGAGGCAAGCGGATCTCTGTGAATTCAAGGCCAGCCTGGTCTACATAGTGAGTTTCCAGGTCAGCTGGGGCTATAGGGAGACCCTATCTCAAAAAGACCAAAAAAAAGAAATGTTATAAGGTCTGTTGATGTACTTGTGTAGGAACTCAACATAAGAAAAGGTGTGAAAAGGAGTGATTAATTTGAGTAAATAATTTAATCTAAATATAATTTAAATAGGGTAACATTTTATAGTAAATAATGATGTTTAATATATCATTTGGTAACTGAAAAGGTGAGACTTGCATAGCAAAAAATTTTAGGGACTTTTAAAAGTGCAAAAAATTTATTATAAGCTGAGAAGAAAAACCAATAAAAATAGAATGTAGTATTACTGTGACCCTAGATTTATACACATGGTGGGATGTAAAAACAGAACAAAACAAAAAACCCTATATAGTGTTTTTGTTGAATTAAGTGTATGTACAGTTTTTCCTTTACTTTGCTTCTATTTGGAGATTACGTAGATTAGCTTTATTTGTATATTTACTTGCTTGCTTACTTTACTTTTTGAGAATGAGGCTCACTCTGTAGCCCAAATTGGCCTGGAACTTGCAACAGTCTTCTCCTTCTGCCTCCTGAAGGCTGGGGTTATAGGTGAATGCCATCATGACTCGCTCCACAGCTTTCTTCCTGGAAAATTTCAAACAAAGGCAGTGAGACTAAAGAACCTCCATGTGCAGTGTCACGGCCATCTCACACGACCGTCTCACACGACCGTCTCACACGACCATCTCACACGACCGTCTCACACGACCGTCTCACACGACCGTCTCACACGGCCGTCTCACACGGCCGTCTCATGGCTAATCTTACTTGATCTGTAGTAGTACCACCTTCCTTTCTGATCATTTGTTTATGTGAATGCATGGGTGTACATGTGTGTGAGCACTCCACAGGTGATGTGCATGTATGTCTATGTGTGTACGCTTCAGGAATCTATTTATTTATTTATTTTTTAAAAGAATATTTTATTGAGTACAAGGGGGTAGCAAACTGGGCAGTAACTAGTGTATAATCTTCAGCCTTCTTTCCATTTTTTAAAAATTATTTATTTAATAACCATATAATTAGAAGAAGCATTTCATTACAACAGCATTGACACATTCAGTAACAATTTCCAGAGCTAAGATGCATCTCTTTCAAAATTGGCTGTAAATTTTTAGGTTTACAGTTGAATTGATACAGTTATACAATATTGTACTCTGTATAAACCCTATAAGACATAAAATTAAATGAGATTTTAAACTTTAAAAAAGATCTCCATTTCATTATTAAAATAGTTTCATACAGAAAAATTCATTTTTAATACAATTGACACTAAGATGCACATGTGTTTCTAATCTCTATATATCTGATTATTACTAGTCACAGTCAGTTACTTTCTGAGCTCCTTGGCATCTGAGCATGGATATAAAGTCATCAGGTAGATTTCAATGGTAATGTTTTTCACATCTACTAATTATTAAGGAGCAAATTTTTATGGTTTGAAGAAATTTTTTTCTTTTTTAAATTTATTTATACACCCACTTCCCAGTAGCACTCTCCCATAACCTCCCTCCCCCCCCAACTAGAGCCCTTATACTCTGATAGCCCTGCTACTGTCTGCTGTGTTGTCGGCACCCTCAGCCATTCCCCACTACTTGCCCTTCTGGTGAATCTAGTCAGCCTATCTAGAGGTCTTTGTTTTAGGAGGGTCAGCTGTTCTTCATCTAGTGGTAATCAGTTGTCTATATTTCTTTGGATAAGATTGGGGTCTGCTGTTCATTTTCCCAGTTCTGTGCTGGGTGACTATCTGGGAATCCCTTTGGCCACCCTGGTCATCAGCTCAAAAGAAGATATCGTTTGCCTGGCATTGTTGCTTGTTATATAGCCTTTAGCTGTACATATGGACTCTTATGAAATTATGTTGGCTCATTTAATCTTTGGTTATACTTTCCTCATACAGTTGGTCCAGATAAAACGATTTATTTTCACTCTTAAGGTCATTTGAGAATCTGTTCCTCAGGGGTCACATGGGCTTGGGAGGAGCCCCTGGCTCCTTTCTTTTACCAGTTTTCCCTATGTGAAGATAAGTCAAAGGTCCTGCTCAACCATGGTTGGCTTCACTTGGAAGCATGGAGGAAATCATTCCTCTATGTTGACCCTCCTTTTTATAGACTGTTCACTGGTTCAGGTCCATCTGGTGGGGTCTCCTCAGCCTCCTTGATCAAGAG